CAGGAGGCAATGCAATCTATAACATAAATGGCTTTGGAGTTCCTGGTAAATAATTTACCACCATTCTCAAAAAGGAGAACAAAAGATTTTGAGGTTTTTTGTTTTATATTGTTTGTTTTTAAAAGGACCCCATTTTTCAGAATTCAGTGGTTAGTGAGAGGTTCCTGCTCCTTCTTGTGTAATTTCCGTGAGGGTGTGCACATATACAAATTGTTGCATTATTTGTTGTTGACATGACAAGCAGTGTTGACAAGAACAGAATGGATAGATAGGTACTCAATACAACAAAGCACACAGACTTCCAGCGGTATCTATACCCCGAGTATTATTTGTAACAGTCTGGTAGGTTGATATCATAAGCCCATACAACAGCTTAGTGCCTACTCAATAATTATAAGTTATCTCTAACTCACTGTCATTTCCTAAGAGATGCTGCATCATGACTGTTCCATTGAAACCTTTTTGCCATGTTTTTTACCACTTTGCAGGGGACAGACGAAGGCTTAAGCGATGTTACATATCATATTTGCAGTTCTGCAGTGAATAGCCTATTATTAATTTGGCATTCTAGCATTCTTACAGCTACTAATGCAAAATCAAATAATGAAGAGAGGTAAAAAGAAAGTCTCATACAGTTGTGATGCAAATTCACACAGGAAACAAAGAGAAGAGGATAAGAAAAAGTGCAGTATTTCAACTTAAACCACACATATTTTTCATTCTCTTTCCTTTCCAGGACTCTGAAGGCTAAGAAAATGCAGAAATTAATCATCATGGATACTTTCAAATAAATACATAAATAAAAATATTCACATTCTATCAAAGTTTGAACATGGTTTAAGATCTTTATCTTGTAATTTTTGCATACTTTAAATCAGAAAGAGGGGTAAAAAAATCCCAGTGGAACATATGAATTCTGGGTACACTTTTCTGATTAAACCTATGGTCTAACTGCCTCACAGATTCGCTCAAGTTCTTTCACAGCCAAATGGTGAACAAAACCAAAGCAAGTGTCTCTAGCCAAACTGCAGAATGTGGATATAATTATTACAAAAAAAATGATAAAATTCCCCTTCTCCCCACAAAAAAGAAAGATGTTGAAGTCAAGACTGCCCCCAGGCATCTTTAACTTATGCACTGACAGGTTACGTGGGATTTTGCCAGAGTAATTATTTTTCTATTCAACAATAATGAGAAATTACCATGGCAACCTCCCTTTCACATGGTGCAGTCATGCACTCAAACATTGAAATAATGGACTAAATGTAACAAAAAATTAATACTTTGAAAATTATTTTTTTATTAAAATAAACTTAAAGAATACGTCAAAAGGACAATAAGGCAGGGGAAACCTGAGAGCTGGGTCAGTGTAGAAGATTACATTGTACTGTATCCAGTTATCCAGAAACAGAGTATTTCTCTGTCACAACTGTCACTGTTCCTTTTTATCACCTCCACCATTATTATTATTTGTATTTTAAAGCATAGTTCAACCCTGAATAGTGACTCTGTGAAAATGGAATCCTGGTGCTTCATGATTATTTTCTTTTTCTAACTTCTAAGTTATATGCAACTCAGTTTTCAAGTAAAAAAAAAGATTTCCCCCTGTAACTGACAGTGCTGAAATTTTTCTCTAAGATCTGAAATAAGCTGGGTCTTTTCCTTTTTACATGCTTGCATCAGTAACATAGTGTAGGCCAAATGATACTTTCCTTTTTGCCTGTGACTGAGACTATGGGACAGGTGTAATTTTTTGACCCTGCAATAGGAACTTAAGACTGAATTATTCTGTGATATTTTCTTCAAATCCTTTTATTTTTATTAATGACTCAGAAGGTAAGCAAAAAGCTCATGTATACAATTTGCAAATGACATACAGCTGGCTGGGGTTGCAATCACTTTAGAGGACAGGATTCAAATTTAAAATTATCTTAATAAATTGTAAAAAGATTCAAAATAAAAGACACATGTAGAGTGCCAC